GGGGTGAAATTGCTGTGGTCTAGCTTTTCTGTGCTTGTACACTGTTTTTCTTGAAAGAATCGCATGCTGCAATTCTGGCTCAAAATATTTGCACACCTCGTTAGCTTTGAACCAGTGGCGAGCGGCAATTCCGAGGTTCAAGAATTAGAAAGTAGACACAAAATGAAAGAAACCTGAACAACTTTGAAGATGTTTGAAATATGTTTGAAACGATCAACTTAGTGGCACTCTCTGTCCTGTTCTGTTGTACATCAGCTCATCGCACCTTTTCCGAAGCACGTTTGGAATTCTGCTTTCCAGCTCAGCAAGAAGCGGTGGAATGTCAATCCGCGATCGAAAGATCGTGTCCAGGTAGCCACAAGTATGGCCAAGCCCGTCAGAACCCAAGAAAGGACCCAAACAAACCAGGCAACATTTTACATCATTTTACTATACAATTTGCGGAATGCACTGATTGGAAAGAATGAATTCTTTAACCCAACATAACACCGGTTGGGATTTTAGCAGGGCAACGGCCAGGATCTTCATGTGGCCCCGCAAATCATTGTAGCAGGACGTGTGCTTTCAGTGCTTTCTTTTCCAAGCACTCTGAAGCAGTTTGGCAAGAAATGATGTAGGGCGAACTCTAGTCTAGTCTTTGATATTGTGTGCACAGGACTGCAGCGGCTAGAATGTCAGCTATAAACGTAGGATTGCTTTGAACCTGAGAATTCCTTTCACGTTTCTGGTTTGTCAAACGCACAGAGAAACACCTGCGAAGCTCGAGCAACTGGACGATCTGAGCAATCTGTGCGGGGCGATCTGTGTCACAAGGCAGATGCAGAACTCCAAAAGCTCCAGAGAGAAGGCTCATGTTGAACTTTCAAACCTTTTCAAACCGTACATAACTGGACTCGACGTACCATGACGTGTCATGACGTCTCAGATGTTTGTCCATGTTTCGGCGAGAACTCGGCAACTCCAGGCTATTTGGTCATCCAGGGGGTGCTTGAGCCATCGCTGTGTGAGGTGGGCCAAATGGATAAGATGCGGACTTCGCCGTAGCTGAAGAACGCTGAAGATTGCTGAAGATATCTTTCTCGCTTTGAAATTTATGGGACACCAGTTTGGATGTAGGGGCAACACTTCCTATGGTGCTACAACGGATGACGAACCAGCTGCATTGATGTTCACAACAAAAGATACGAACGATTCGGAAAAAAAAAGGATACAAAAAACACTTCGAAATGCACCGGCGTTTGCAGACTCTCCGGCAGCATGTTTTGCTTTGCACAGATGAGGCCCGGAACTCAAGAGATCACTCGAGACGAGGGCTGGTAGGTTTCTTTCTTGCGACCCCTCCTTCAGTGCTGCGTTTTGCAGTTGCCAACTTGAATGGAGAAAAACCACAGAAGGCTTGGAATTACGAACAGCCAGCTGCCAATTTCAATCTGGCGTGAAAGTCTCTAACCTCCGCGCGAGACACATCAGGGAGTGGACATGATGTTATTCCTCTGCAATTTCAAATTAAATTGCATTCTTTCCCATTATCAGACTTCCAGCAATACTTCCATCTGGAGTAAGGCACAAAAGCAAAATCGTTTGGACCTCTTTGGCAACATCCAAGAGGTGCAGAAGACATTCGATGAGTTCCGAAACGTCGTTAACAAATGCTTTTTTGCGGTCCTCACATTTTCCACCTGATCACCTGGCACCATTTGCTCTATTCGCAGAATCATATTGTCTCATTGTGCATTAGTAACCCTAATCGTCCTTGTCCTTTTCTTGGACAGGTCCTCAATTTATGTCTATTTGGGTTATACAACTTTTTTTTTTTTCTTTCTTTCTTTCTTTCGTCTTCCTGGTCTTTGTCGTAGCTGAAGAAAGTCAGGCGGACAATCGCAGTGATTTGAAGCTGGACATGTGTGAGCCAGTGATAGAGGCAGGGAGTATAGTGGGCCAGGGAGAGTGGTGGAAGTAACGCATTCCGACTGTTTTGGACACCGGACGGCTGCAGGTACTGGTGGATTTCTTGCTGCATCGCACTAGAAGTTTCTGCGAAATCATGGAAGCACTTGACATCGTTTGACATCACTTGACACACAACTTGACTCTCGACTTCCAAGCACTGCCCGGAAGGCCCTAAATCGATTTAGCGCACGTTGCGGCGATGTGCTCACCCGCCACTTGATGGAAAGACTTTGCGAGCTTCCCTTCAAACATCTTCGAACTGTATCTTGATTTGTTTTGGAACTGTGGGACCTTGGCAAACCTTGATGCTTGTGAATTCGTAGTGGATTTCAGCCATGAATTCATTGATGAAACTGTAGATAAACAACTGGCAAACTTTCTGTTGCAAGAGATACAGTCCATGTTTAAAATAATGTGAGTGAAATACCGTGATCCTTCAAATCAATGGCATCTTTCAGCTTCTTGCAGGTGCAATGGGTGGAGATGCCAAAATTGCCCGGGGACCCAGCATGCTTTGGTTTGGCACACTTGCAGGGTTGTGAAATGATTGAATTGCCTGCTGAAGCCAAAAACCGAATCAGCACTTGGGCACAAATACCATGATTTTCATGAAGGAGCCACTTCGGCCACCGTCTTAGAGCATTCACAGACAACTGACAACTGAAATGCAGCATGTCCACAGTTTCCATTTGAGGTCGAGCTGGCTGCCATCAGCAGTAGCAAAGGCTTGATCAGCGCTTCTCTTGTGGATGTCAAACAATCTTCATATACTCCGAATATACTCCTGTATGACCCTGTATAACCCTGTATATATATATATGTATATATATACAGTGTTGGCCACTAGGAATGGAATCAGTGGAATCAGTACCGACCATATACCGGGAATGAAATTGAAAACAGCGCGCGAAGACTCGGGAAGGTGCTGTGGCACAGCCTGTGCATGCAGACACCATGCACGGGGTCACACGCTTCCTGCAGAGTGACATTGCTTTGCATGATGCCCGGGCCATATCTTAATGAGATAATCTTAGATGAGTCCAAGATGGGGTTCACTTAGGTTCATTAGTTCAGCTTTTGGCCGGAGCTGTGCTGGGATGGAGGCTACAGCAAGTATCGAAACAGCAGCTTTGCCCAAACCAAGTCGACACTGTGCTAAGGTATGATCATCTCATATCGTCTCTTTGATTCTTCCAAGTCTTTCTTGGATGTATTTCCTGTGAGTTTTCCACACTTATCAACATAGATTTCCTGCTGGTACTTCTGCAGCCATTTGGACATGGTCCCACCGCAGAATATCACTGCAGACTGCAGGGGTATATTTACATAATATATCTTTATATATATATATATGTGTGATTACATATATTTATTTACATATATATATATGTATATTATATTTTATAAACCTGACCAGGCCATGAGAGGTTGGAAAGAGCATTGCACACTTTGCATTTTAAGCAGCTGCAAATTCACTTCAGAGAGACACAAACCACCCCTGCTTGATTTTCCGAACACATATTATGATATGATACAATTGTCGAGGAGGTGAGAGGCATTGGGACGTCGCAGATGAGGGCCTGGGCCTAGAGGCCAGACAAAAAAAAAAAGTTTGCGTCATTTTGCACCTTGACCTTGCTGAGATTTGGATCCAAAATGCACCCTCTGTGGCCTGACCACCATGGCAAGCGGGTGTGGGGTGGCGCTCCAGCTGCAGACGCCGAGTATGTCAAGCTTTTTAATCAAGCAGCGGGTGCCCGCTCACAAAAGGAGGCCAGGTTGGGAAGATGGAAGTGACGAAAGTGACGAAAGTGACAAAAGTGACGAAAGTGACAAAAGTGACGAAAGAGTGAATCTCATGGCAGCGGAGCGGCCTAGGCGGTCTATGCGTCGTAGGCATCGTAGCGTCAGTCAATCCCAAACGCGAATCAAGTATAATCAAGCCGTAAATTCATCGGAAGTTCAGTAGATGAGAAGAGTCTCAGCAGAGTCTCAGTTGAGTCATGAAATGTGCTTTGGTGCTTCGCCCAGCAGCATCGACGTGAACTCGGGGAAGCACGGCCTGAACATCTGCAGGGTGCTGCAGGCAGAAGAGCAAGGCCGACTGGGCTAGTTTTGACAAGGGCGTGGAAGGGCTTCAAGCAATCAGATTGGAAACAACATGGGACAACAATACAGGACAATCCCCAAGAAATACAATGTGAACCGCCAAGATTGAAACTCATGTCCAGGCTACTGGGCTTTGATTCAGTTTTCTTGATGTGTGTTTCTCAGTGTTTCGGCACCCCTCTCGATTGTGCGACTCAGGTTTAGCTAGATTATGATTAGCATAGATTAATCTTAGATTAGCAAGGTTTGGAATATGTTGGAATGGCCGTTTTTGTTTGTGTCTTAGCATTTCATCGCTGGACTCTGCTAGGCTCGAAGCTCATGGCGGGGAGGATGGACTCTTCTGGCGAAATGAAGCAGCCTGAATTGATCTGAAACGGTAGGAAACATACAAAGAACATAGAAACAACATACAAACCCACAGAAATCGATATGTGGATATTCAGTATGGGTTAACCTCAGTTATAATATATATATGCTGTAGTTGGACAGCGCATACTTCTTGCGCTTTTTTTTGCTCTCCCGGGCCCTCCCAAGCGCTTCAGAAGCAGGAGCCAAATCGCCGCTGCATTGCGGAGCTGCGGAGCGATGCCTACGAAGGTTCTGGATCTTGTACGAAGAGCAAACGATGCCATTGATGCATGACAAATTTCAGACAATTAGGATATATTATAAATATTTAGATGAGTCGTAGATACAAGTTAGATACAAGTCAAGGTATCTGATGATACAATTACCATCAAGAATCATCAAGAATCCTCAAGAATCATCAAGAATCATCAAGTAGCATCAAGTGAAATACCCGCAGTATTTCATATAGGGCCATACGGCCGTATGTCGCAGAAGACGAGCTGACGGGGCGCCAAATGCCGCGGTCGAAGCAGTTGCTAGGCGCTGCTGGCAGCAATGTCCGGCCGGCTTTCTGGAGATATCACGAGAAGATGAGCGAGGAACCCCAGGCGAGTCGGTTGGAAGCGCTGGTTCTTGCTGCAAGGTTGTGTTTCTTGCGAAGAAGTGCCTTTTATATCCTTTTATATATATATATATAAATGTATATCTTTCACGCGGACAAACCATGAAATGTGATTTTGTCTTTAAATTGCAGGATGGGCAGGCACTACCCTACCAGTTACCAGTTGTCCTCTTCCGACATACTGGCACTGACATACACAATTCAGTGGAGTTGGAATTCGACCGCATCCTTTGCACCATGATGACCCATGCTGTTTTCCTGAGAGGCCTGGGAGCCTCCTCCAAAGCTTGGATTCATGGAGCTGATAAATCAGTATGAGCTGATGCAGCACCTCGACTACTTTTCTTGCGCAATCGGTGGCTGAACTAATGAAATAGTGACTGCAGATTTATCATCAGCATGTACCTATGATATCATGTCCTTGCTATACGTGCTATGCTCATGCACATGCTCATGAATCAAATGCACATCCACAACGCACCCAATGGAAGCACAGCTCACAGTGATCGCCAAGAAGAACTTTCACTGTATGCTGATGTGACTGATGTGACTGATGTGACTGATGTGACTGATGTGACTGATGTGATGTGTTGAATACATAAGGCAGCAACAGAAGCAGCTGCAACAGCAGCGGTTTGAACAGCAACTGCTCCGACAGCAGAAACTCTTTGAGGGTGCGTTTGGCGCTGCGTCGGATCGCCACGGAGGTTGGACACAAGCCAGAAATATCCATCTACTTTCTGCGATTTGTGTACAGATACATAGTGTGTTGTCGCATGTTGTAGCTCTGTAATCACATGGCTTTTTCATTCTGTGGCAATGATCTCCCATATAGATTCATACTGTAGAGAAGGTATATAGACATATATATAGACATATACCAATATGATCCGATATGATCCGATATGATCCGATATGATCCGATATGATCCGATATGATCCGATATGATCCGATATGCCCCACTTGAGACAGAGCAAAAAAGCAGACGAAACGGCGCTTGGTAATTAAGGGAGGAAACGGAGGGGATAGAGACACAAAGTCTCAGCGGACTAAGCACATCTAAAGCTTTTGATCACATGATGCCATGCAGGTGGAATGCGTGTGGCCGTCGGTTTCTTGTCAAGACATATCGCGGGACAGAGACTGGATGGGTGCTTCAGGTCGAGAACAGATCTTAACAGATCTTAACTGTCTTAATCAGTCGTAACAGGCTGAGAGCTTTACTCAGGTGGTCCAGGTCACCTGGACTCGCACTTGGCCAGCGGCAGAATGGATCCTGATCAAGAGGCCTCCGAGGGCCTGGAGCATTTTGTCGACTGAGCGCAGCTTTTTCTCGTTTCCGGGCCATATTTGCGAAGAACTTAATGCGGCAAGGGCATGCAAGGGCCACAAAGATTCCGGCTTGGCGCTAAGATTTGCCCGGTGACTAGCTACTGCATATTACTGAATGGATTTTGATGGATTTTGCATTTGTAACTTCCGCTCCCTTGACCCCTAAAATAGACTTCTGTCACGAAGACATACGAAGACTTCGTTCCCGGTCTACTATTCTCCTTGAGCTTCTAGTCCATGGGTTCGTATTTATTTGGATTCATCCGTTCCGTTCTTCGGACTTTTGTTTTGCCTCCATTCAGAGCAGCCCACATGCCTTCCTGCTCAGTACTGCTTGCGTGGTAGTACCAATCAAAGATTGAATCTCTTCCGCAGCCATCTCTGCAGCAGCCATCTCAGGCGAACTTTTGAGGAGCGAAAATGCGTATTTATTTTATTTTGTACACAATCTGCTATGCTCAGACCTGCCCCGACTGCAGAGGAGATGGGAGTGATACGTCCCTATTACAAGTAGACTCAAGGCCGCCTCCAGACGCTCCTGGTATCATTATTTGGTCCTATGGACGAAGCGCCACTGGCTCCTTGAAGAGATCGTTGATATCAGCCACAGGCTATACGTACTGCCGAAACATGGGCGAACCTTTTGCTGATCGTGCGCCTAATATCCAGTCTCTTCAACGCTGTATGCGAAAGGGGCAACTGCTTTTGATGATCAAGCCACAACACTTGTTTGAACATGGAGGTGCTTTGCAACGACCACAAGACTTCTTTCAAGCGGCTTTTCAGGCTTCTTGGTGGGTGAGGGACATTGTTTGTTTTCGCACGTTTTACTGTGGGTCTCAGAAGCCTGTTTGATAAATTGTTTTTGTCAGGACCCCCAAATGCTGAAGATTTCGTGAAATTGCAAGGCTGGCTTTCGCATTGTTGTTGGAAGCTTCCGGGAGAACCAACTGGCGAGGGATTTGTCTTCCTTTGAGTTGAAGACTCGACAGGACAGGCGGAAACTCCCCGACTATGTCATTGACCCTAATAGCACCGCTGTCAAGAGATGTTTACACTATCCTGGTATTGTTCGTTATTATGAGGAGCTTCGTACAAACTACAGCCTCGGTTTGGAAGCTGCCTACAACCTTGGGTACACCATTGTACCTTTTTCATTCCAAGATTTGATCAGAGACACATGCAAGGGTGTCAGACGTACAATAAAAGCACTGCGGTCACTAAAAGTCTCACAGAGTTTCAAAGACTGTAGTGCTGTAGCTACTCATATCAGTCCTCCCCACGCCAATCAGACAGTTGACTCTGCCACTAACGCAGAAGTGGCATCCATTATTCGAGCTGAACTCTTGGGAACGCCTTACCAGTGGATGTTGGATCTTGATGCAACAGATTGGCCACCTGGAATAGAGCCGCAGAAGCCGGTCCCTACATGGCATATGCACGAGTTGATTTCCAAGGAGGGCAATACTTTTATGCGCCTTCCAAACGATGCTGGGAAACGCAGCTTGTAACTGACTTCCCCACTTTTCCTGACTGGAAGGTTCCTGGAAAAATGACGTCATGCAGCAAATCTGCAATTGGGGTGAATATCAGGAGGGCAAGTTGGGTCTTGGAATCTAAGTATGATCCTGCTATGGGTGGCCCAGGTTTAGCTGTGCCGGTTGTGATAGTGTGGAACTAGTTGCACCAGTCGAGTGTCTGGGGTCGGTTGGTTTCCTGATCACAGGCTGTGGGCGAACGGCTGTATGAGGGTGCTGCAGGCTGCCCGAGTGCTTGGCGCTTCTCAGATGCAAATTAACCGTTTTAACATGTTTTAACCGTTTACTTTTTTGATTTTGATTTTGGACGAGACAACGGGCATTTTGATTTTGATATCCTTTTCTTTTTGTTTTCAGCATGGGTTCTGTTGACAATGATATGAACAGATTGTAGGTTGAGAATGCTGAATCATCAGTATTCAGTATTCAAGTATTGACCGTCAGCATATGAACATTTGTGTTTAGTTGTATCCACATCAGGATGCTTTGCATGACTAAGGTTCTCCGCGTCAGGACAAACAGTTTGTGCCGCACAAGTCAATGCATAGGTTGAGTGACCATATTGTATTATACAGAGTCCTTGCAAATTCAGCATAAATGAGTTGTGATTTGGTATATCTTTCTTTCAACTCACGACACAGTTACATAGTTGGGCTTGGCATTTATTCTTGGCTCAACTTGGCCCGATTCCTTGTACTCTTCCAGATTTACTGTAGGAATCTGAATTTGGCTCAAACACCTACCAGCGGTTAATCGTGTCGGCTAAGATTTGAGGGTGGTTTGTTCAGCGATGGATTTGCGTTCATGTCTGGACTGTAGAGATGATGCCCCGTTCAACCTTGTGTTTGAACTGGATGAGAAGATCGATTGTTTCCATTTTGGCAAGGAAGTCCCTTTCGGGTTCAGGTATCTTTCTATCATGAGGGTGAGGTAGAAGACAACCCTATGGCACTGTACAACATGAAGTGGGCTGATCAGAAATTTGGAAGCACATGGATGGTGAACCTGGACCCCCAATTTCCCCCAATGACCCATAACGGATGTCCGTGACTATGTGTATGCGCACGATCTCTGTTGTGGATTGGGTGGGTTTGCATCAGCCCTTGGATTTGTGGGCACCCAAGTTATCTCTGCAGTGGACTTTTCGTCGTTGGCACTTTCCGCCTTCCAGCTCAATCATGATGTTCCCAGCTTCTGTGCTGACGTAGGTAACTCAGAGTTGTTGTTTCAGTTGCATCGTTTGCAGAATCAGCACAAGTGCCAGCCCTTGATCACGGCTGGCTTCCCTTGTCAACCGCTATCAGCTCAAGGCCAGCAGCTGAGAGAGCAAGACTGGAGGAGTGGGACATTGAAGTCCTTGCCGAGATGTGCCTTTTGGTTGCAAAGTGCGGGGTTGCTTTTAGAGTGTGTGCCTGAAGCATTGCATGACTTTTCCACTCAAAGAGCCATGCGGGCTTTTGCCCAACTCATGAATTTTGACATCCTGTAGAAGATTGTACATCTTCAGCACATTTGGCCAAGTAGGAGAAATCGTTGGTTTGCACTGCTTGTGCCCAAATCCATGGGATTGTCTCTCTTTCGATGATTTGCCAAAACTTTTGCCGTCACCAGCAGTACAAGACCTGATACCGTATGATCCACGGCCAGCCTGGTCACAGGTTGATGCGGCCCAATGAAAGTGGAATAGCATTGAGCTTCAGGCTTTCCGCAACCCAGGATTTGGACCAACAGACCGCAAGATCAACACAAGTGAAGCTTTGCCGACTGCTCTGTATTCTTGGGGTGCTGCGGTCATGAAGTGCCCATGCGGATGCAGGTCTCAGGGTCTCAGTCCGTTCTCACTCCGCAGAAAAGGCCTGAGAGGTATTGAAATTTGTTCGGCTTTGTGGCCTCACGAACCACGGCATATACACCCCAGGGAACTCCAGTTTTTGATGGGCTTTTCGCCGTGTGAGAAAATTTTGGATGATTGCAGAGCTCAGTTGTGCCTTCAGGGGACTGCTGTCTCCCCGATCCAAGCCACTCTGGACTTGGGCAATGGACTTACGCCCCGTGAGTGCATCCACAAGTATTTGCTCAAAACCGTTCATGAAAGGGATGTCACATGGCCTAGTCCCTCAGTTGGTTCAGGCGACTTTGCAGGAGACATGGTCCAGCTGAGTTTCATCAGCAACCAAACTGTAGGCAAATTGCTGCAAGCTGAAGCATCTTTGACAGGAGTCGATGCATGCACACGAGTGTTTTGCCAGGGAATCGAGTTCCCTCCGTTTGAGTTCCTGCAGGGTAGAAAGTACCACGTTGGTTTGACATATGGCACCTTGGTGAAATGGGCAGGCATTTCTGAGTTCCGTATGCCGTATGCTCCTTGATGAAACATCCATGCTTGAATCCCGAAGCACCAATCACAGCATGGAAGCAAATCATTGTCCAGCAAGACCCTGACCATGTGGCTTTGGATTTGAATTTTCTTGAGGTTGGTTTCGGCAATTTGTCTGCGGGGCATGTTTTTGGTACTCTCAAGACTTCTGATTCAAGGATAGGAATAGGTTTGTGGCACTTTGATCCACTGATTAAGTCCAATGTCCTGATGTCATGGATTGGCAGTGAATTCCGTATACCGTGACCGTTTGGCTTCCATCCTTTGCGGCGGCCATTGTCGAATGCTGGCCCAGCACAATCGATGATAGGCTGCACACTTGGTTCCAGCTTTCCAATCGCTGTCGAAGAATGGGGTTGGAATTTATATAGCCAAGTTCTCACTGAATGCCCAGACTTTTACAGTGACTTTCTTTGAGGACCAAGGCCGATCGTCTATAGTCGCAGCACATGTCGCTTTCAGAGTCAGCAAGAGACAAACTTATGTTGAAACATGGGATCACAATGCGGAGGATTTTGGATCATTTGGAACCTTGACAAGAATCATGCACACGTTGGATCGTGAATTGCAGGTCCCCGATTGCATCACCCATGCCTTGCATGACTTGGAGAGGAACATGGTAGACAGCATGATCAGTGCCAAGGGGTCAACAATCCCGCGTGACATTTTTGACAACCAAACATGGAAGACAAGTGTCATGTTGTGGCAGGAAAAGGTCTGTCAGTTGGATTTTTGCATCGAGTCGTCACTGCCATTTTTGCAACACAGCATAGCTCAGGACATGATGTGAAAGTCCTGATGTATGGGCCTAGTGACATGCAACCAGAAATCAAGTTCCGTGCTCTGACCACATCCGACCGACCGATCCATGCACCGACGTTGATCGACCAGCATTGGGTTTTGGTTCACTGTGAGCTGCAGAGTGAGTGTTTGCGTATGACCGTGGATGATGGACTTGGTTTGCACGTTTCCAGGCATGTCCACAATCTGTGTGATGTGCTGAAAACATCATGGGCTTTGCAGCAGGTCAACATTGAGTACAAATGGATTCTGCCGCAAAAGCAGCAGCACACTTGTGGGACCGTAGCTCTTGGTCATTTGCTTTTGCTCGCTGGTATCATCAGTTCTGAGCAGGCCATGAATTTTGAACAGCTGCATGACGGCTTAGCCCATTGCGATCCTTTCCAACAGGATGCCATGCAAGTAGGTTTCGCTCCTGACGAAGCCATCGTTGAAGCTTTGATGCAAATCCTGCCATCCAATCCAAGGGAGTTCCAACGGAAGAGGTGCAGAATCGTGCCATGGCAGCCATCAAGGTCTTTGGTCGAGCGCCAGTTCAAACAGCGTTGAATGAACGTGTGTGTGGGCTGCGTTGAAGCAGCTGGGAAAAAGCAGGCCCAAGCTTTTTCTTTGGGTCTCCCATGCTGAATTGCAGGAGCATATCAAAGAGAGAACAAGTTCCAAGTTTGGTGCCCAGGTTGATATCAAGTGGCCTCGTAAGGAAAAAAACCAAAGGCTGCTGCCGCCACGTACCAGATTGAGCCATCCAATTTGATGCTTGCAGCCGAAGTCTTTGCGACGAACTGTGGAACGCCACTGTCACAGCTGCCTCTTTCGGGTGTCGTCAAAAATACCAGGGGAGTCGCATTTGCCACAGCAGCAGAAGCACACAAGTACATGACGGAAGGAAAGTTCATCTCCATGCATACGTTGCGAGTGCCAGCCATTTACAAGGCAACCATGGAACCGGTGCTGCTCGAGTGCACCTCTGTCCAGTTAGGAGATCAAGATGTTGATCAGAAGACCAACAAATCAGCCCCGGAAGTTGCTGTTTTCGCCTCGGTGCTGTTTCGAACGCATGTGTTCCGTGATCTCTGAGAAGCTGAACATCAGTGGAATGAGCTGGTGGATCACCCTGTTCGCTGCTTGGTCTCCACATTCCCACTGCTTCGATTGCGCAAAGATCGAGACTGCCAAGGTCCATGCAACATGTATCACCCCAGCATTGATGAAGAAGGTATTTAATCAGGTCTTTTGGATGTTTGGGGTTTCAAATGGGCTCAGATTGATGGTTCCAAATCTTCGCCTCAGAAGTCTGCAGTGCTCTCATGCACTGTACATGCGTGTCCCCGAGTCCAGCTTTGATGCCTTGCACATTGCATCCGGGCAGGCAGGTGTGTTTTCTTTGTACCCAGGCAGAAAGATCAGCCAGCACCGGACATGAGGTTCGCCGTCATTTGGATTCCACAGTCAAACCTGACGGATACCATCCATAAGGTCAAAACTCATGATGATTGCCGCGCAGCATGCCGACTGGGATTGCACCCATGTGCAGGATCTCAAGGGAAAGCATGGCTCGATGGCACCGAGGTGGAGCCGCCTGCACAATTCGAAATCCAGAATGGGTGGATCAGCGTGTCCAAGGCCCGAGATCAAGCCGCAGTGCCCTAGACTGCCAACATCATTGCCGCAGCCAAGACCAAGCAACATATCAAGAGCATCACCACGGGATCTTCGTCGTCCAATGCGGACCCATGGTAACAGGGCCCAGGCCCATGTGCAGGATATCATGGCAGCGCACCAGCTGTGGCACCAC